CATCGGAAGCATTTTTAATTTCTTACCACAAAGCAAAACACATGTGAGGCATTTGCGACGTTATCAGATTGAAGTGTAATTCGGACGAAATGTACTCCCGTATTTATTGGCGAGTTGATAAGAATAGTGCGTCGTTGATTACGCGTCTCTTGTTGCTACGGAGAGATAAAGGTCATCTTATTGGATTCAATGACTTTTATCTCTTTTTATCAAACTCGTTTTCGCAAAATGCGAGTATCACGTATACAGTAAACATATTTTCTTAGAAAAAGTAAAGAATAAATCTGAAAATTTTAGGACCTTAATTTTTAAATATTTATAAACTAATTTACGACTATAAAAAGTCTGCGCATCAATTTTTTGCATAGTATTGTTCCTGAAATATATAAAATTTCCAAATCATGAAAGCATGAGTCATTATAACTACAAAATGACGTCACAACAGTTGCAAATTTTATTAAACTTATTAAAAGTCACTTTTTAATCAATCGCAATTTGATGTATTTTGATATTGCGACTTTGTTGGGTTAATATTGTCTTTATATAAAACTAATAAAGCTGATAGTTTTGGAAAAATTGTTCTTCTGAATGCGTTTAAATAATTTGCCGATATATTTGACATCTAAATAGAATTTATAGACAGGAATTATTTAATTATGCAGTTGTTAGTTTTAAACAGAACTCAGAAATTCAAAGTAACTGAATTCTTTTATTATTTAGATAAGAAAGAAAACTCTGGGATTCGAGAATTAATAAATATAATATATAGATATTGAAAACTATTTAATATATTAGTATTTTATTTAACAAATATATAAAATAAAGCTCGAAAGAATGTATCAGTGGAAAATGTAAAAAAGCCCATCAAAACTTACATCAGCTATTCGGATGCACAGAAAATTCTTTATTTTCGTGTGAATGTAACAAAACGAATAAAATACGTTTCGACCTTTCAATTCGGGTCTTTATCAATATAAAATATAAATTACATAAATAACGCAAATTCCAAGTTAATGATTCCAGACAATTTAGTTCGTTTTTCTTTATCCAAATGCCAAATTAGATAAAGTAAAACCGAAGTCATATACATTGCGTCACTAAGTAAAATCACATCGCTCATCAAATTGTCGATACAATTGTATCTCTAACTGTCGACACCGCAAGACCTTTACATTGAGTCGGAAGAAAACGCTTACATCAAATCTGATAATTTGATGAGCAATGTGATTCTACTTAGTGACGCAATATATGTTATATGATTTCGGTTTTATTTTATCTAAATAATTTGACATTTGGATAAGGAAGAACGAACTGTTGAAGAAAGAACAAATTGTTGGGAATCATCAACTTGGAATTTGCATTATTTATGTAATTTCGATTTATATTTTATATTGATAAGACCCGAATTGAAGGGTCGAAATGTATATTTTATTTGTTTTGTTACATTCACACGAATAAAAAA